CTTCGTTGGAAGAAGCCTTACTTCTGAAAATAGGTGCAAACAACTTGAATTCTTTTATTTAAGTGGGTCTTTTAAATCATACCCTTGGTGGGTTCAGCGAGGCACACAATAAGGGTGGCCGGGTGATAAGAAACGTGGCCAGACATTGCGGATTCGATTCCCTGACGTCTTAACCGCCTCGACCTTTGATGGGAACATTACATAGATTAAAAACAATCTATATAATACCGAAAAATAAAATATCTATTTAAATATCGAAAGACGAATTTATTTAAATTCTTAACACGAAAATAAGATTTGAATAGACATTCAGACAGAAAATTTCAAATTTCTTCACAGTGGTGTAAGAATTTATATCCGAAAATTTGAGCATAGTAATAATGTTTAACCAATATTAATCTAATTATTTGCCATCGGGAATTTCTTCATTGATTGGCGATTTCTCCATTAATAAGTTTGCTTTTAACATTTGAACATCTTCTCTTTTCTTTCTTCTGAAGAACCCCAACTGTAGAAGAATAAATAAAGAGTGAAAATATATTTTATCTTTAGTATTATCGATTTTAAATACATTATTACCTTTAGCAGAACTACAAGGATAATGGTGATTAAAACAATTCCAGAAGCTATGCTGACTGGAAGAATCCATTTTGCGATCTTGCCACGTTTCAAAGTGATAGAACTCACAATATAAGTTATCACCTAACAAAAGTTTTTCATCATTATAATAAAAAAATTTCAAATTAGATTAATTAATATTTGTTGTATTACTTTGCTTTTATCTGGTTTATGATTTATAGGTTGAATATTCCTTCTTTTATCAATGATTGACACTCTTCCTTCTGAAGTAAAAGTCAGGTTATCCCATTCTTTCTAAGAAATAAAAACATTGTATAATTATTTTTCTATTTCAAACTGAATTTTTTTTTTCATTTGAATTTTTCTTTCCTGTGCTCTCTAACAGGGTCATTCATTCAGATCCATAATGTGGTGGCTGGTGGTGACGGACGTTTGATGGGTTTGGCTTTGTTTTATTCATATATGACAATGTGACTTATGGGCGATGTGCTGAGAATGCTCCCGAGAGCTCTTTTATAGGAAATTGGCCCCCTATTTAGATGTTAGACACGAGAAGAAAATTCGGAAAACTCTACTCTCGCCCATGGGCGTAGCCAGAGTTTTGTTATGGGGGGCCTAGTGGAGGCCAACCTGACACAAAATTGAATTATTTCAAATTATTGTTCATTATTGGGCACCGAGCAAGCCGTTCACCTTTTTTTAGTATTCAAAACTTTTATTTTAGCTTTAGGTTTTTACAAATCGACTCAACACTTTTTCGGCTGTGATTTCCTGGGGAGGGCACCAGGTTCCCTGGGAGGGGCCGTGCCCACCCAGGCTCCCCCCTCGCTACGCCCATGCTCTCGCCCGTTGGTGAGAAGTGAACTCGCGACCAACTGTGTTCAGTGGTTTTATCCACTCAAGTACCGGTAGGCACGACGACGTCTCCTTAACTAGATCCAAGTATCAAGAAAATTTATTGGATATTTTACGTTTTTACAGAGAATGGATCGGCTACTAACCCGTAATCAGTGGCGTAGCGTGGGTGTCAGCCGTCCGGGGCAAAGGAAATTTCGCCGTCCCCTTATTTAGGTATCTCAATTTAAATTCCCACTGCCGTCCATCCGTCCGTCCGTCTGCCTTTCCTTAATATCGAGAACGGAGTTAAATAGATGAGAGTCGAGACCATATATGGAAAGTTTAGTGACAGAAAGTCCCGATAAACTATATAAGCTTCCCACGCCAACCAGAAGGCATATTATTCCAATTTAAAAATTTCTCGTAAAGTGTTAGATAGATCAGTGTTCCGCAACCGGTGTGCCGTAACATGGTGAAAGGTGTGACGTGAACTTTTACATATTCTGTTATTTTTCAAGTTTTATTTATGTGTTTTTATCACAGTTGTTGTGTTTCTTATGCTTGTATTTCATTCTCTGCCGCAGCATTGATAAAATAAGATGATGCTTGTTTATTCTTTATTACAAGCCACGCATTTTTATGTATTCTAAAAAATTATATGTAAAATAAATTTGCTCACAGGTGTTGATTCTGTTTAATAACAATAATAATAGGTTAGTAACATTACATAATTCTATTAATAGTATCATATAATACGTTTTTGAAGGGAATAACATTTTGGTGTGCCGTGTTGAGTCATGGGTGTGCTGCAAGTAGAAAAAGGTTGCGGAACACTGAGATAGATGACCGACACAACTCTATTGTCAAAGGAAAAGTATGATATACAGGGGCAAGCCGCTACTAAGTTGAGATGGAGAACAAATATTTTAAATTAAATAAATTAAAAATATGATTAAAAATTGTAGCGCGGCATTGTGACGATGTCAGAAATAAATGCTCGTTATTTTTATTTTCCATCAGAGACAAATATTGTAACTAAGGGTTATAATTTTATTAAGAATGCCAAATAAGTTAGTCATTATTCTTCATTTACTGTTTTATAACAAAACAATTAAATATAGCATACTAGACTGTAATTTCATTAATTAAATTCAAATAAATATCGCTAAAAGTTTATTATACTGTAATTTAAAAATATAATTTTATAAAATTATAAGTGTCTCGTTCTATTCTCAGACAGTTTATACATACTGTCCATTATTATTTGGTATAACAAGAAGTGTCTATCGTATGTTGTAGCGCAGGGCCACAACAGAGTCTAAACTCGGTTTAGACTCTGTTTGCTGTTTAGAAATATTATTGATGTCACTTATTATTATTTTTTCTTTTACTTTCCAGGCTCTGTTATACATAGGGAAAGTATGGCGATCGGTCAAAAAAATGACTCCTCCTCCAGATTTTCTCATGTTGGAGACCTTGAAACGTCGAGAAATGCAAAATAATTCGGGAGTATTTTCTGTATATGTGTGTGTGTATGAAACGATTTTGTTCACTCTCTTTGAAGCTGAATAACTCCTGTGTTTTTTTGTCGAAATTTCTGAAAGTTTTCAGAGTGGTTTGTGTATTATGGGATCAATGCTTATTAAATTTAAAGGTCGACGAGGTAGGGAGATAAAAGGGATCGTGTCATATCTCGAGAGAGATCGGATGTAATGACGATTTCATTCGTTATTCTCATATACAATTTTTTTTTATAAAACCCATCCCTACCTTTAAAATTAAGTTTTTTTTTGTCATTTTATAATAATTAAAAATATAAAAAGTTTTTAAAAATAAGATATCATAACAGATGGCGCGACCAAAAGTTGCCGGGAAACTGAAGCAACTCGTTGACGGATTTTTATTAAATATTTAATCATTTCGTTTAAAAAATTTTTGTTTTTACATATGCATTAAATTTTAACATTTAAAAATAATAGCTCATTGTGATGGATAAGAAAAAACAAAAAACAAAGACCATCTTTTATATCAGACGATTAATTTAACCCATTAAAAGTTTCCGAGATTAAAAAAAATGTATTTAATTGACTGAGTAATTAAAATGAAATCTAGTATCTTTACCGAGTAACCGAGTGGAACAGGTTTCATTTGGTCTGGTTTTACAACCAGAGCAAATGAAACCTGTTCCACTCAGTTACTGCTCTTCGCTGAGCTAGTAGTCGAGTGGATAATACCGCTGAAACTAATCGCGGGTTCCCGCCCGATCAACGAGTTGGCAACATGGTATTTTCAATATTTTCTTCACGCATATAACACCTAAATACTGGCACGTTTTCCATAGAAAGTCCTCGCAACAGGAATCCAAGTGTTGTGTTGCCTTATCTCATTAATCCGATGAAGACAATTACTTTTCTCATTCCCGTCAGACATAAGATGAAAAATATGTTTACATACTCACAGAAGCAGATTTAAGAACTTTAACATTTATGTATCCTTTTATGTAAAAAGTCGAACTTTTCCGTTTTTCGTCAAATGGACCAACAGAACACACAACTTCTTGGCATTTGGATGTTTCACAATTCTAGTTAATATGATGTATTATTAGAGATTAAAGTTTGTATTGTGAAGAATTGTCAAAAATTACTCACAATTTTCAAATTCTTGTCTACATCGACCGACATCACAATATTATTGATGCTTCTCTTTGATCTAATTGTAATGTTAAGATCTTCATCATACTTCATGTGATCATTTTCTGTATTCTTGAAATTGCAGATTCCAGAAACCGAATTGGAATGATCTGGATTAAGAATCTATCAAGTAATGAAAGAAAACCGTAATTTATTAAATCATCTTTTAATAATGTAATCATTTATAGTGACTTACTTTAACACTTTCTAGTTTAACGAATTTCGTATTCGTATCGATCAAACTCGTTGGAATTGAGAAAACTACGTTCACAAGAGAAATGGGACTATATAAATATTTCATAACCTAAATAACAGAATAATGCTAAGTTTTATTCGTTAGAACTGGCCTAGTATTGAAGCTATATAAGAATTTTTGAACATTACATTATAAATATGGACGAATTCATAAAGTTCATTGCTGGGTTCACCTTTTTTCAATAGAATCAACTCTCGTTCCGCGCGCCTGTATAATAACATAAATTGTTATATATTTAGTTATTATAATGTAAGTTCTTTTGTAATTTACTCTTTACCCCGTTATTCCGATATCTGCAGATAATTTTATAGGTATTGTGATATTAACAAAATTGTCAACTGGATTAATTTCTTCGCTCAACGTCGTCAAGTCCATAAGAATGGATATGTGTTCTTGGTTAGATGATATTTTAGACGAATCTAATTTAATTTCCTGCTTTATCTGAAAAATTATAATTAAATCTTTGTAATTAATCTTTGTAATCAAAATCAATTCAAATTTTGGCCCACCAGTGGCTGAGTGCACAAAACTGCTGAAAACTATAATTGGTCGCGGGTTCTCGCCCCAGTCCAGCTTTCAACGATTTTATCCACTCGACTACTGATAGCACAATGACGTCTCCTTAAACTAGATCTAAATATCAAGAAAATTTTAAATGTTTATAGAGAAAAATAAATAATTTATACAATAATTATTGATTTACCAAGGTTCTATCGAAAGGATTGCCAATCAGACAGATTAATCTTAATCCTTTAGAAATATCACGAGATTGTCTACAATATTTTCCTTTGATTAAATCAAGATTTTCCTCTATATAAATTATCATCTCGGTCTTGAAAGCTGGATCTCCCGAACGTCTTATTTCAGCCACGATGCTAATTTCCTTGTCTTTACCGAGTATTAATTCTCCATTGCTAAATTAAATAAATCACAATAAAATAAACGTACATAGCAATTATTCCTGTAGTAATTTTAATACTTCATTTTGCCCAATGTAATTTCTTTGTAAAACTTTATAATTCAAAATATGAATATTCCAACTTTAAATAACGGCCATCTCTGTACGACGGCCATTTTATCAAGTACCAGTATATTGAGCAAAAATGCATACAGAATAACCTCGAAAGAATGACTATTTTTGTCTCTGTCAGTATTTAATTTGGCCATTAAACCTTTAAAAAATGGCCACTAATCTTTGGCCGTTGTTTAAAGGTTTGACTTTACTTTTTTTAAGTGTTACAAAATTAATATCTTTTTATGAACACATTCATTGTATTTAACTTTTATTCTGAAATATTATTCATAAACTGAAATTGTAAAATTGTCAATAAATTTCGTATTTAATGAGTTAAAAATTAATTTTTAATTAATTTTAACTCATTAATTAAATTCATTTAATTCATTAATTAATTCATTTTAATTAATTATAACATACATTACAGTACCAAAAATATATTAAAATATTTTAAATATTATTTATTTTTAAATAAATTGATTAAAAAAACTGTTTCTCTGAACAAAAAAAAATACATGTTAATGGATGAATTGATGGGGAAAGTAACACAACACGTCAGCAAATTGCCAAGAGGGATGCCTTTCGGGAGGACTTTCTATGAAAATTTTTCCCTATTTAGATGTTAAAAACCTGGCTAACTTTACGTAGTTGGTGTATTGGTGAGGTGCTCACCAGTGTCCGAGTGGATATAACCACTGAACACTACAGTTGGTCGCGAGTTCGCGCCTGACCAACGAGCTGGCNTTTGTAATAATATTATGTTCAGTAAGTTTTATTTCGCGTGTTCGCCAAACAGCGAAGCCTTGGTCAATTATATAGCACTGTACTAAATATAATAAAAATATAATTATGTTTTTATTTAAAATTAAGCATTGTGTTCAATGACGTTGCCAAATCCTTCAATGCAGAAGTGGGAATTTATAAGTCTTCAATTTGAAAATTGCAGCCCAATATTTAACGAAAAAGTCAACCGTAGAGTAAAATTAAACACATACGGTAGTAGCTGTAACGTAACAACTTCGTTGGATAGGCATTAGATTTTAACCATGACATTTTTTGTTATTTTATTTTTAGTGAAAATTTAATTCAAGTTCTTTTACTCACCTCAGACCAGATATGTTGGCGTTTAGTTTCAGATCAGATGAACATTTGTCACTCTGAGCACAACCAGTACGAAAACTTATCTGTAAATAAGTCTTCTATTGTAAAATTTCAGATATAAGAGTAAAAAATTCGTAAAGATTTTAACTTACCACGCCAACTGTAAAATTTGGAAACGTAGGATCTAAAACGGGACAATCTTTACAAAACGATACTTCTTCGGAAATATTATGTTTTAAGAATAAAATCGAATTTATTTGTATTGGATTCACTTGATCGTCGGAATCTCCCTGGCAAAAATATTCCAAAGAAACAACTTAAGTTTAATTCGCAAAGTTATTAATAATGCATTATATTAAATAAGCTATAATCATACTAGACACTTTTCTACAATTCATACTTTTTTCTTTTTTACTTTTTTCACCCTGAGCGCACTAAGAGTTGTTGTCTGTACATGGCAATGCGACTAGCAGGCAATCTGCCGAAAAAGGATGCCTCCCGAGAAGACTTTCTAGGAAAGTAGATAGGAAAACTGGCCTCTAAGTGTTACAAACGTGAAGAAAAATTGCAAAACTCCACGTAGCCATACTGTTAGCGAGGTGCGAACCCACCATCAACTACCAGAGTTCAGTGGTTTTATCCTCTGTTCATTTTATCTTGTATCAATGTTCAGAGTCGCACACTGGTAGGCGTGGTCACTAAGAGGGCCTTTATATCAAGCTTATTGTGAGTCGAACCGTGTGGTGATGGGCGTGCCCAACATCCGAAAAATTCATGGAATTTTTCGAGCCGGCCGGATTCGTTTCCGGATGTCTCTATTGAGGTAGGCTCTCATCCTAATTGCTTGGTCATCCAGCCGTACCGATAATGGGATAGATAAAAGATCTCTTAATATCCACAAGGCGGAAAGAGTTGAAAAAGAAAGTAATTCGTATGATTATTTTATGATAAAATAAATACGAGGTATAGTAGTACATACTCGAACATGAGTGTCATAACTAATACAGTCGGTTATCCCTTTTTTCATTATAATTTCCTGGCGTATGAATGAAGTTTGTTTATTCCGATGATCTGTGAAATAGTCTCGAGGTTGGAGAAAGTTTCTTCGACGAAACGAACGCAATTCCACAACAAAATCTATAAAATATGATCTTAAGATACTTGATAAAGTAATATTAATTTTCAAATTTATACTCACCGAGTTTCAAGGGTACGTAAATTCCCTCGTATCCGAAACAATAAATAGTTTTAAAACAATGTCCTGTAGTAAAATTGCAAGATGACTTCTTCGGATTTATTTGGTGAGGCTGAAATGTGATATTATGAAATACCCGCACAATGGGGCGAGACCTACGCAGTAGTTTATTATTCAGTTAATTAGTTTGCTTTTAAATTAAAGAATATTTTATTTATTCTATAAATTACCTCAAGAGTATTGCGTTGTCTGATAAAAAAGATCCAACGAGAATATCTAAAATAAATACCTAAAATTGAATTTTACATGTAACGAATTATGAATTTCTGTGAATTTAATTTACCAGAATAATTATTTGCATCTACGTCAACCGGTCTCGATATAGATATACCAAAACCCGTCAAAGATTCGTCGATTTCGGCAGCAAAAATTCTCTAAATATAAATATATAGAATAATTATATCTCACAGTAAAGGCGATAAAACTTCCATAATTATTTTACCTGAACATATTGAGATTTAATTCCATGGAGAGAACCGTGATATATGTAAATAGCGCCTCTTTCTGATTCGTATGGTGCTCCAATGGCAATATCTGTTATATACATATAACATTTATTATTATTTATTATATTCTCTCTGCTCTGTACGCACTAAGAGGACCTATTTTAACGCATTATGGATTTGGTAATGCCCACAATGAGGAGACTGGGTGGTGAGGGACAGGTTCGAAATATCCAGATGGACCACTCCCGAAAAATTCCTGGGGTTTTTCGACCGTCCGGATTCGATTCAAGGTTATATAAAATATTTGGTTTTTAGAGAATGAATAAACGAAACTTCTAATAATTTGTTAACGTTAGAGGTTTTATTGTGGATATCTAATGTATATAAAATTATCATCAAGCCATCACTCCAGTCAATGGGGACATTTGTTAACACATTTTGTGTAGCTCAGTAAACTTTGTGTTCCCAAATAACAGTGTAATAAGACAATTGTGCAATAAAACTAAAACTGTCACCTGTTCTAAGAAAGGTTGAGCGAAAATTTCCAAAGACTACAATATCTAATATCTAACCAGAACTTTAATTGTCAGAGATACTTTCAGAGATATTCTTACTTGCAAAATATAATTTTACTACATTCTCTATACGCTATTTTGTTTTTGTTTAAATATTTTTGTATTCCAACGTCCGTCAATACTGTTTTGTATATTTCAACCTCTCGTGCATTTCTCTGATCATCATACAATATACTGTATAACGCAAATATCAAATAGTTAATTACATTAAACTGGAAAGTTTTAAAATCTCAGCGGTCAGCACATAAATCTCTGTTGCTCTTACTACCCAGCAGTAAGAACAACACGAATGATAAATCGAGTGGTTAAAACCGCTGACAATTAATAGTTGTCGCGGGTTCGCACCTCGCCAACGGGCTAGTCACGTGGAAATTTCCGGTTTTCTTCACGTGTCAAATACCTCTCGAAAGGAACACTACCTTAGTAGATCGCCCAAGTTGAGTCACCTTACTCCATCAATACAATCTTATGTTACTTTTTTCTAATATACATTATAATTATAGGCAATTTTTAAATTAAAGCTTGTTTCGAAATAAATTAAAATAAGATCTAAAATGGACCATTAAAATTAATTTGATATGAGCTAATCACAAAATTTTAAATAAAAGTGGTTTGTATCACGAAAGAAATTTCCATTGCTTCTCTTTCATGCTGACCAATCCCATTGCGGTACAGACACGCTCGTCAGACCTCTTTTTTTTTTTTTTTTTTAACTCTTTCCGCTCTGTGGGCACGAAGAGGGACTCTTTTTGCAAGCCCATTATGGGTTCGGCCAGGCCCACAATGGAGCTGCCGGGTGGTGAGGGACGGGGCCCGACATATCCGAACGGACCACCCCCCGAAAAATTCCTGGGGATTTTTCGATCCGTTCGGATTCGAACCCGGGTCCCCCAGAGCGGTGGGCTACCACCTTGACCGCTCGGGCATCCGGCCAGTGCTGTGCGATGTCTATAATTTTAACATCGATGTCAAACATCGATGTTTGCCTAAGCATCGATACTAAATTTCGATGTCGGATTTCACATCGATGTTTGATCGATGCCCATTGGAACATCGATGTTCAATCAAGATAAACTCAAGCAATTTAAAAAAAAAACAAAACTTAATTTTATTTTCAACTTGTATAGTTCAATTACAGTTCCAATGCATACAGTTCTTCAATCGATAATGAATTTAAAACTAGAAGTTTGTGTACATTCTTTGGCTTTAAAGAACTCCGCTTTTTGTTGATAGTATTTCCAGCTTTGGAAAATAATCTTTCTGCTGGAACTGAAGTGGCAGGAATGCAAAGCCACTTCATGGCAAGTTCACATAAATTATAGTTTAAAAATTTCATGGATTTCCATACATCCAAAGCATTACTATTGTGAGGCACAATAGGGGCATCTAAAAACGTTTTAAAATTTGAATTTAAAGTTCCATTTGTGTTAACATTTTCTATCTTAATATCAATTTTTCTGGATGACCAAAGGTGTAAATTTGTAAACATATTTGCAAGAACTTTGTTTCATCGCAATTTCACAATTTTTACGAAATTCCCGGACTGTCCGAGTGAAAACCGAACAGGTGGTAACACTAGGAACAAAGAATGAACTGCATACATCGATGAATCAAAATTCACATATTGCTAACATCGATTCAGGCAAAAACATCGGAAGGTCGATGCATCGACGAACAAAAACATCGATGCATCGCACAGCACTACATCCGGCAGCACGCTCGTTAGGCCAGAAACACACATGCGTAAAATTCAGCGTAAAATCTAGCATAAAACAGAAAGCGTAAAAATTTTTCTGAAATTTTGGCTGAAACATAACTGAAAAAAGAGTAGAGTGTGTCTACTTTTTACGCCAAAATTCCTCCAATAAAGAGAAGTCTGTTTTGTGACGTTAAAGTAGACACGTGGTTTTTATTCTAACAATACAGTCGACCCCCCCTATAAGATATAGATACGTTCCAATTTATTAGGAATCCGATTTCTTACAAGTCGTTCCAATACAGCCCGACACGTGTCAAGTTTACGGACTATGGCTGATTGAAAGGTTTCCTTCCATAAAATTAATCGATTCTACACTAATCCGACTCAACATTTCCAAAATACGTATATTTTTTCGTAGTTTTATAGGAATCGTAATTATAGGGACCGTAATTATAGGGGGGCCGACTGTAGCGGCAATGAGTGTTAACCCTACAATTGTGACGATCTCGAAAAAAACGAAAAATAAACGAAATAGAAGAGTTTATTGAATCCGTTCGACCACATCAGTACAATAAAGACACTGTATTTAAATAACGTTTATGGATGGCCAGTGGCGGCCTTAGGGGGTGGCGAGCAGGGCAATCGCCCGGGGCCTCGCTCTTGGAGGGGCCTCGCGCAACAACCAAGTAGAAAAAAGTTGATATTTAAAACTTTTTATTTTATCCTTGGCTATTAGTTATAACAATAAAATAAATTTAATTTATAGTACAGTATATATTAATATTAATAAGTGCCTACTATTTCAATTCACATACTTTGCACAAAGGATAAGGGCCTCGCAAAGATCTGCCGCCCAGGGCCTCGCAAAGATCTGTCGCCCAGAGCCTCGCAATGGATAAGGCCGCCGCTGTGGATGGCTATAGGTGCTAAATTTCAAATAACAGGTAAGTCTAGTACAGTGTTTCTCAACCTCTAACGAATCGTCGCCCCCTTCACTTCAAAATTCCGATGCCGATGGCCAAGGCTAATGCCAAATTCGAACTGCATTGAATAGACTAATGACTAGTATAATGTTATTTGTTTAATTATTGTACGATATAACGAAAAAATATCTAATTTTTCTTAATATAATGTTTTACTATATCGTCCAGAAAATTGTTTTCTCCCCTTCAATATGGAAAAACGCCCACATGGGGGCGATATCGCCCCGTTGAAAAACACTGGTCTAGTAGAATCGATATATAGGCCTAGTATTCAGACACACGTTCTTTATTTGAATTCGGAATGCAAGTCTATTAATTTAAATTTTCTATATCATAGCAGAGGAGGCGGATAAAAAATGAAAGGTACAAATAAATAGATATATGATTAAAAAAAATTAATAAAATGTAGCACTGTTAGTGGCAGTGGAGTTTCCTATTCGGCCAGAATTTTACGTACGTGTGTTCTGGCATAAAAGCGTAAAACAGAAACTGAACTGAAAGCTAATTTCTGATTCAGTTTTCTGCCACACAATTTTACGCATGTGTGTTCCTGGTTTTATAAACGTAGTTGCGGTCGATACAACCTTTATACGCTGCATCGACTATAATTTTACCGCAATTCTTTATGTAATGTTACGTATTTATAAAATATCTAACCAGAACCTTAACTGATGTAAATATAAGCCTATCCAACGAATAAAACTGACAATAAAAAATATAAAAAATAAATATTTCAAAGACACGATTAAACATTGAAGACGTACCTACAAATTCATATAAATTCTGAAATCCTTATTTTGCATTAGAACAAATCAGCTTGAGGATCGTACTAACGTAACTTAAGCAGAATTTTGGCATTCTGTAAGCTAGTGAAATAAGCTTTTATGACATTATTTTGCTAGCTGTACAGTTTGGTTAAATGCACAGCCAGCAAAATAAGTTAACACGACTTTACAGGATACCGCTGAAGTGTTTAATTCATCTAACTTATGACCATTACTTCCGCTAACACAAAACTTTTTTTGGCACTTATGTGAGGACCAGAAATTTTGTATTATAAACTAAAATTTTTTTTGTTTAATAAACTTTGTAAAGACGGAACGAGAAAACAGAAAATTAAAAGAGAAAAAGGAAGAATGAAATCAATAAAAAACTCGATTCCCACGAGTTGGGTTCCTTGTTGAGATGAGTACATTTCTATGTCACGATTATGTCACCCGTTCCCTCATTGGACCAAGAAGATCGTCATCGCTGACGAAATCGGAGAAAGGTTCGAAAATGAGGACGTGATATAAAAGGGCACAGGCACGATGAGTAAGTGTGGAAGTTATTATTGGTGTCTGTGTGTGCACTCCGAACGTCTACCTCCCGCCGAGATTCCGTCAACCAACACCTCCTTCTCGCCTACAAGACTAGAACTGAACTCAACTGACCTCAATACATATTCATCTGGAAGGAACTATTGAACGTTTTTTGTGCTGGACTTGATTTCCTATACTACCTAAGGTATTTATCCTGCCCGCGCACTATTGTACGCTCTCTCTCTCCGCGTAAACTAAACGCGAAATCAGTTGTAACTAGAACTATTTTATTTACTAAGTAAACCTACGTTAAATATATATAAATAAACGGTTGTTTATGTTAAAACTTCTCGAGTGCAGTTTCATCCGTTTTTCTCTCCATTCTCTCTATTCCGGGTCCAACCCTCATACCTATCCGCTCACGTGAACTGGTGGTCTCTGTATCGACCGAAGGATACAGTGGTGTCATCCTGACGGGGTATCGAAGAGATACCGACCCTATGGTCACACTTATTTTCACCAGAAAATTTTTATATGATTTGTAAAAAAGCAATATTCAGCAGTATCTCCAAGACTATGTTATGGAAGTCGACATCTGTAGAAAATTTACCGAAATCGAAGAATAATTTTTATAAACATAATCAAAATATATCAAGATTACGATACTATAATCTGTTTCATCAAAGAATACACTTCGCGAAAATATATGACGTCACTCTGAAAGCTTCTCATTGATTACTATTCACTTCCGTTCGAAAAAAAAAGAGTTCCGCCGATTTTAACGTTTAAAAGTTATTTATAGGTTATAATATATTGATAAAGCCATTAATAAATACAATGCTTAATACAATAATTGTTACTTATCATTTACAGTTACAGGTAGATTGCATTGTGGTTACAAGTGCATGTGGCCAAAGAGAAGATGACAAATCGGAGAGTTCATCGCGTAATGATATAAATGCGGCGAGTTGTTTTAACTATCGGGCTAGAATATACTACATAGAGTGGCTGTAGTGACGCAATATTTAAAGAAATTGAATACACGTCCGCCATTTTCCTTTTAGTCAAGGGGCGTGCCATTTGTGTTGTGTAAAGACAACGAGCTAGACAAGTGTGCAAAGGAAAGGAAGAGTTTTAACCCTTAACTGAGTCTGTGCGAGTCAAAATGATGCTACTTAGTTCTTTTTAATTTTGAAAGTAAATAAGACATTTCTTTCTTTAACCCTTTTTCTAAACAAAATATTCTGTAGCGATAAGTTAAATGCATTTCTAAACATTCTTAATTTTACTTTCCCGGTTGTTATGTATACATAACAAGGGAAAGCATTGGTTGGAATCGTGTCAAATTTGACTCTCAGAGTTTTTGCAAATCTCCACATTTTGAGACCTCTTGAATCCAAAAAAGTAAAAAAACGTATTGAAAAAAATTCCGTATATATTGTGTGTTGGCGTCTATAAGAAACGAAATTTTGGTATGATAGCTTATGTATAAGAGCATTAATGCTATTAAATTTTGATTCTTAAAGGTTGAAGGAGTGGGGAGATGAGGGATGTCATGCGTCATATCTCGAGAGATGTCGGAGTTAATGAAGATGCTATTCGTTATTAATAAGCCCCGGATTTTTCGGATCGATAAAAGTGGAGTTTCGGATCCGAAATCGGATCGAAAAGATCATGTTTTCGGATGTATGTTCGGAATAAAAAAAAAATAATAATAATAAAAATAAAACAAAATTATCAAATTTTCTTCAGTTATCTGTCTATTAATTAATGCAGTATNATTGATTAAAAAAACTGTTTCTCTGAACAAAAAAAAATACATGTTAATGGATGAATTGATGGGGAAAGTAACACAACACGTCAGCAAATTGCCAAGAGGGATGCCTTTCGGGAGGACTTTCTATGAAAATTTTTCCCTATTTAGATGTTAAAAACCTGGCTAACTTTACGTAGTTGGTGTATTGGTGAGGTGCTCACCAGTGTCCGAGTGGATATAACCACTGAACACTACAGTTGGTCGCGAGTTCGCGCCTGACCAACGAGCTGGCCACATGCAATTTTCCAAGTTTTCTTCAGGCGTGTAACACTTAAATGTGGGCTAGTTTCCCATAAAAAATCTTTCCGGGAGTTTCTACGGAAATTTTCCGGCATCCTTCCGGGATTCTCCTTGGAAGATTGCCCGTGTGTGACTTTATCCCATTAATCCAATTCAATCCAATCCCGTGTGATCCTAACCCGACCAATGTTCAGAGATTTTATCTATTCGGCCACTGGCGGATAGTGTATATAAATTAATTACAGTATATTTACTTCTAAATGTGCACATATATGAATTTGCTTCAGTGTAAATAATAATTATTCCAAAAGAAATAACAATGCTTTCTGAATACACCATGGGTTCGGCAGGCCCGTAATGGGAGCTTTGTTTTTTAAAGGAAATATAATTTATTCAGGGGTCTAGAACAGTGGTCCCCGACCTTTTTGTCTTGCGTATCCCTTGGCAGCCCATTTTCGTAAATTGTACTCCTTACATTAGAAAAATGTTTGTACTTTCTTTGGTTGTATTTTAAACTTGTTGCAACTGTAAATAAATAGCAGTGACTTGGCAAGGAAGATGCACAGGGCGGCTGAATTGATGTAGGTTAAAAGGTTATCTGAATAAGTACAAATGTTCAGTGCTCGGTGTTTCACCTACTTTTCTACTTGCCACACCATTATTGCTCTTTGAAATTGGTTTAAAAAAAAAACTAATAATATCTTCAATCACATTTTCATATCTATTAGCTGGCAAGATATACGATGTCAAAATCGAAATATTCTTATTTTGAGCTGCTAAGCGTTTTAAAAATCATATTTCTTAGTTTTATAATTCGCATGTTTGTTTGTAGATGCCGTAAAAATAGAGAACGTCCCCACATACTACACATTTCTGTTTAGTACAGTCATCAACTCCTAAATACGAAAATCAACATTTCATGTATTCATCACAGTATTTTCTCTTTTTACCTCCCTGTGGAGAGAGGTCCCTTTCAGTGTTTTGCATCATTTTGGAAAGTAACCAATTACCAAGCACTTCTCAAGACACGTGTCTTGAGAAGTGCTCGGTAATTGATTACTTTCCAAAATTTCATGTTTCAGCTTTTCTTATTGTACCGATTTTCAACCACCGATCTGCCTAGTGTACATGCCTTCGGAGAGATCTTTTAAAAGTAACTGGCTCCTATTTAGGCGTTAAAGACGTAGAGAAAACCCAGAAAACTCCATGTGGCCAGCCCTTCCTGGAGAAAAGCGAACCCACGACCGAACTAGCAGTGTTCATGGAACATTAGTGTACGAAAATTGATTTTATTTAATAATGAAAAGTATATAATCGTATGGCCGCACATATGCCTGCAAATTAGTTAAATTAAATATAAAATAAATATTGTAAAAACGAACTAAAAACTTAGTTTTAAATGTGTAATGTAAACAAAATTATAGAATGTCAAAATGTTAGCACCAGTAGATTTTGTAATAATATTATGTTCAGTAAGTTTTATTTCGCGTGTTCGCCAAACAGCGAAGCCTTGGTCAATTATATAGCACTGTACTAAATATAATAAAAATATAATTATGTTTTTATTTAAAATTAAGCATTGTGTTCAATGACGTTGCCAAATCCTTCAATGCAGAAGTGGGAATTTATAAGTCTTCAATTTGAAAATTGCAGCCCAATATTTAACGAAAAAGTCAACCGTAGAGTAAAATTAAACACATACGGTAGTAGCTGTAACGTAACAACTTCGTTGGATAGGCATTAGATTTTAACCATGACATTTTTTGTTATTTTATTTTTAGTGAAAATTTAATTCAAGTTCTTTTACTCACCTCAGACCAGATATGTTGGCGTTTAGTTTCAGATCAGATGAACATTTGTCACTCTGAGCACAACCAGTACGAAAACTTATCTGTAAATAAGTCTTCTATTGTAAAATTTCAGATATAAGAGTAAAAAATTCGTAAAGATTTTAACTTACCACGCCAACTGTAAAATTTGGAAACGTAGGATCTAAAACGGGACAATCTTTACAAAACGATACTTCTTCGGAAATATTATGTTTTAAGAATAAAATCGAATTTATTTGTATTGGATTCACTTGATCGTCGGAATCTCCCTGGCAAAAATATTCCAAAGAAACAACTTAAGTTTAATTCGCAAAGTTATTAATAATGCATTATATTAAATAAGCTATAATCATACTAGACACTTTTCTACAATTCATACTTTTTTCTTTTTTACTTTTTTCACCCTGAGCGCACTAAGAGTTGTTGTCTGTACATGGCAATGCGACTAGCAGGCAATCTGCCGAAAAAGGATGCCTCCCGAGAAGACTTTCTAGGAAAGTAGATAGGAAAACTGGCCTCTAAGTGTTACAAACGTGAAGAAAAATTGCAAAACTCCACGTAGCCATACTGTTAGCGAGGTGCGAACCCACCATCAACTACCAGAGTTCAGTGGTTTTATCCTCTGTTCATTTTATCTTGTATCAATGTTCAGAGTCGCACACTGGTAGGCGTGGTCACTAAGAGGGCCTTTATATCAAGCTTATTGTGAGTCGAACCGTGTGGTGATGGGCGTGCCCAACATCCGAAAAATTCATGGAATTTTTCGAGCCGGCCGGATTCGTTTCCGGATGTCTCTATTGAGGTAGGCTCTCATCCTAATTGCTTGGTCATCCAGCCGTACCGATAATGGGATAGATAAAAGATCTCTTAATATCCACAAGGCGGAAAGAGTTGAAAAAGAAAGTAATTCGTATGATTATTTTATGATAAAATAAATACGAGGTATAGTAGTACATACTCGAACATGAGTGTCATAACTAATACAGTCGGTTATCCCTTTTTTCATTATAATTTCCTGGCGTATGAATGAAGTTTGTTTATTCCGATGATCTGTGAAATAGTCTCGAGGTTGGAGAAAGTTTCTTCGACGAAACGAACGCAATTCCACAACAAAATCTATAAAATATGATCTTAAGATACTTGATAAAGTAATATTAATTTTCAAATTTATACTCACCGAGTTTCAAGGGTACGTAAATTCCCTCGTATCCGAAACAATAAATAGTTTTAAAACAATGTCCTGTAGTAAAATTGCAAGATGACTTCTTCGGATTTATTTGGTGAGGCTGAAATGTGATATTATGAAATACCCGCACAATGGGGCGAGACCTACGCAGTAGTTTATTATTCAGTTAATTAGTTTGCTTTTAAATTAAAGAATATTTTATTTATTCTATAAATTACCTCAAGAGTATTGCGTTGTCTGATAAAAAAGATCCAACGAGAATATCTAAAATAAATACCTAAAATTGAATTTTACATGTAACGAATTATGAATTTCTGTGAATTTAATTTACCAGAATAATTATTTGAATCTACGTCAACCGGTCTCGATATAGATATACCAAAACCCGTCAAAGATTCGTCGATTTCGGCAGCAAAAATTCTCTAAATATAAATATATAGAATAATTATATCTCACAGTAAAGGCGATAAAACTTCCATAATTATTTTACCTGAACATATTGAGATTTAATTCCATGGAGAGAACCGTGATATATGTAAATAGCGCCTCTTTCTGATTCGTATGGTGCTCCAATGGCAATATCTGTTATATACATATAACATTTATTATTATTTATTATATTCTCTCTGCTCTGTACGCACTAAGAGGACCTATTTTAACGCATTATGGATTTGGTAATGCCCACAATGAGGAGACTGGGTGGTGAGGGACAGGTTCGAAATATCCAGATGGACCACTCCCGAAAAATTCCTGGGGTTTTTCGACCGTCCGGATTCGATTCAAGGTTATATAAAATATTTGGTTTTTAGAGAATGAATAAACGAAACTTCTAATAATTTGTTAACGTTAGAGGTTTTATTGTGGATATCTAATGTATATAAAATTATCATCAAGCCATCACTCCAGTCAATGGGGACATTTGTTAACACATTTTGTGTAGCTCAGTAAACTTTGTGTTCCCAAATAACAGTGTAATAAGACAATTGTGCAATAAAACTAAAACTGTCACCTGTTCTAAGAAAGGTTGAGCGAAAATTTCCAAAGACTACAATATCTAATATCTAACCAGAACTTTAATTGTCAGAGATACTTTCAGAGATATTCTTACTTGCAAAATATAATTTTACTACATTCTCTATACGCTATTTTGTTTTTGTTTAAATATTTTTGTATTCCAACGTCCGTCAATACTGTTTTGTATATTTCAACCTCTCGTGCATTTCTCTGATCATCATACAATATACTGTATAACGCAAATATCAAATAGTTAATTACATTAAACTGGAAAGTTTTAAAATCTCAGCGGTCAGCACATAAATCTCTGTTGCTCTTACTACCCAGCAGTAAGAACAACACGAATGATAAATCGAGTGGTTAAAACCGCTGACAATTAATAGTTGTCGCGGGTTCGCACCTCGCCAACGGGCTAGTCACGTGGAAATTTCCGGTTTTCTTCACGTGTCAAATACCTCTCGAAAGGAACACTACCTTAGTAGATCGCCCAAGTTGAGTCACCTTACTCCATCAATACAATCTTATGTTACTTTTTTCTAATATACATTATAATTATAGGCAATTTTTAAATTAAAGCTTGTTTCGAAATAAATTAAAATAAGATCTAAAATGGACCATTAAAATTAATTTGATATGAGCTAATCACAAAATTTTAAATAAAAGTGGTTTGTATCACGAAAGAAATTTCCATTGCTTCTCTTTCATGCTGACCAATCCCATTGCGGTACAGACACGCTCGTCAGACCTCTTTTTTTTTTTTTTTTTTAACTCTTTCCGCTCTGTGGGCACGAAGAGGGACTCTTTTTGCAAGCCCATTATGGGTTCGGCCAGGCCCACAATGGAGCTGCCGGGTGGTGAGGGACGGGGCCCGACATATCCGAACGGACCACCCCCCGAAAAATTCCTGGGGATTTTTCGATCCGTTCGGATTCGAACCCGGGTCCCCCAGAGCGGTGGGCTACCACCTTGACCGCTCGGGCATCCGGCCAGTGCTGTGCGATGTCTATAATTTTAACATCGATGTCAAACATCGATGTTTGCCTAAGCATCGATGCTAAATTTCGATGTCGGATTTCACATCGATGTTTGATCGATGTTCATTGGAACATCGATGTTCAATCAAGATAAACTCAAGCAATTTAAAAAAAAAACAAAACTTAATTTTATTTTCAACTTGTATAGTTCAATTACAGTTCCAATGCATACAGTTCTTCAATCGATAATGAATTTAAAACTAGAAGTTTGTGTACATTCTTTGGCTTTAAAGAACTCCGCTTTTTGTTGATAGTATTTCCAGCTTTGGAAAATAATCTTTCTGCTGGAACTGAAGTGGCAGGAATGCAAAGCCACTTCATGGCAAGTTCACATAAATTATAGTTAAAAAATTTCATGGATTTCCACACATCCAAAGCATTACTATTGTGAGGCA